CTTAAGTGTGTATGTGCTGATTCTGTTGATTCTGAGTACACTCTGTGCAAAGTAGACAGGAAGCGCAGGCTTTTGCTTTTGGTGTGTGTGACAGGAACTTTACATGCCCATAAAAGTAGACTGTGACAAGTGAGCACCCAGAGAGAGAAAACAGACGAGTTAAACTCTAGGCAGATGAAGCAAATGGAAGTTTTAAGAAAAGAAATGAAAAAGGATATTAATTGTATGCTTTAGTGTGTCAATACAGGTGGACTTCTCTCAACCTGGAACCTTGAGTACAGTGGCAAAACCATAGATTAACAGAATTGGGAGGAAAACAGGCCAGGTTTTGGCTTAAAATTTTACAGCTTGACCTCTCACTTTGTCCCCATCCTGAGAAGAAGCTCAAAGGACAGTTGATCTCCTGATGAAGACCGACAGAACGTCGTGGACTTGAAGAATTAACAGCAGGCAAAAGACAGTGCAACTGAACCATTAACACTGAAACCACACTGACGACACCAGCAGCAGCATGGAAGAAACCACGTGATGAAAACATGCACGGTGAACTGCAGGCTGGTAAGGACAGTGTGACATGACTGTTTGAAGGCACTGAATGTGATATTTTGCCAGGCTGGGACTTAATCTAAAAGGAAAATACTGAAAAGAAACAGAGAAAAAAACAGATTGTGTTTGCTGGAGATTTAAGGCCACAAAGGACACTGTGAAGAGAAGCGCACAGGGGCCAGTGAGAGGTGAAGCCCAGAGGAGTACGACTGCGATAATACAGGGTATAATTGGGTTTAAATTGAAGCCTGAACTCATGATGGTTTAGAGATGTCCACCAGATCACAACAAAGAGGTAAACAAAAAATAGAAAACACACATACACAAATTGTTACATGTGAAATTATTTTTGGAAAGAATCAGAAGTGAGATAGTTTGAATTCAGAACTCAGTGAAAAGATGCATGAATTAAACCTGATTATAACATACAGAGGCAATGAAGAAACAGCCTACACTCACTGAACATTAACATGAATACATAAAACGCAATGAAGACATGCTTACACTTATACACATGACATAAGTTGGTATTTCGGACCAGAGAGAGAGAAACGGGTAGTTTAAGGACAATAAACACTCTTAACATGGCCTGTTCACACTTCTGGCCTTGAGTAGAAGCTAAAAGACTCTCAAATAGCTTTTCCCCACAGGCCATGAGTAAGACACTGAGCAGTGCTCCTATCCCACCACATCACTACTGTTCATTGTTAGTGCACTATTATTATCAGCTATTTGCTGATTATCTGTTTGCAAAATTGCACACAGGCATAAGTAATCAGGCTCAGGTCTTTCAAGCTCAGGTCTTTTAATGAATTTCATTATCATTATTATTATTATTATTATTATTATTATTATTATTATTACTTCCACTTCCTTTTGTATTTTTCTCTCTTTATTTCTATTTTTATTAGAATTTGTATTCATTTTTTGTATTAAGAGAGACTGGCAAAATAAGAATTTATTTGTACTTTGTAAATTGTAATGTTCCACTTACAATAGAACCTGGACTTAATATAAGCATTAATATAAGCACTTCTTCAGTAGAAGCATTGCTGTCGCTATATAAAGAAAAATTTAATTGTGTTGAATTGAGTTGAATTAAAACTAAATTTAATACAAAACTGAATCCATGGCTGAATTGAAAGGATAAGACAGTGTCATCTAACACAGAAGGCCACTAAGATACAGTATGTGATGAATCTTTATGCTACAGGGAAACTGAAACCAGCATATCCAAGCATTGCAAAGATTCATACGTGTAAATAAAACTGTTATTGCAGCACTGACAAAAGTGGAAGCAACAAGTCTCTATAATGGCACAAAACAAAGACAAGACTTGACTCTTAAGACTTATTTATTCCCCTGTTGCTGAATGTGAGGTGGAGAAAAAAAGAGAGCCAGTCATCAATTAAAATTCCTAAGTGTTCCTAATTCAATCTCAGAGCCCTGGGCCATAGCCATTCGTGAAAGGTTTGGTGGCTTTTTGCCTTTATATGTTTTATTTGACCATTTTTCATTAAATCTAAGATTTAAATAATTTCCAATTTCACAAGTGAATTCAGTTTATATTTAAATTTTACACATCTCTCCTTGGAAACAGTTTTCTTTTTACTTCATGGTCCTGTCTCCCACTGGAATCAGCTCTCACCAAAATCGTATTAATTATTTTATAGCCAGCAGCAGGTCTGCCCATTAAATCTGATGTAAATAAGTGAATTTTGAACGAAACTCTGCTCACAGCTGAACTAATAAATCAAAAAACCACTAGAATGGGAAGCTGCAAAAAACAAGATATTTTCTAGATTTCAGTTCAATTCGAGTTTATTTACCTCAAGGCGCTTTATATTGTAAGGTAGACCCTACAATAATACATACAGACCCTATAAATATTATTGTGCTTGTTACTTGATATTGCTTAGTAAATAGGTCTGTGAATAACAAGCGATGCCCACTGTTCATCTATTCTTCTTTCGTCTCAGAGCTGTGTATTTGAGATAATGAAGCAGATTAGAAAAACAACAAAACAACAAAAAAAAAAAAACGGCTATCGCCTGCCATCAAAATGCACACAAACAGTCATGCCTGTGATGTCCTTGGGGACTAGAATAATGTTTAATTAAAAAAATTATGCCATAAAGAGATTGTACATTTGGCTGTGGTACTGAGTCAGAGGCATTACTGTAAGTAGTGAAGGAGATTTAACCTGACATTCAGTCTGTGGTCATTAGGTGGGCTGTCTCTACAGACCTTTCAGGGAAAGAAGACACATACCTGCACATACGAGCTGAGCTTGTTCAGTGCAAGGATATCATTTGTACCATTTCTTCATTATTTAAACATGAGGTTATATTATCATCATACTTATGCAATGTATCATGATGGGGCGATCGTGGCTCAAGAGTTGGCAGGTTGTCTTGTAATCGGAAGGTTGCCAGTTCGAGCCCTGGCTTGGACAGTCTCGGTCGTTGTGTCCTTGGGCAGGACACTTCACACGTTGCCTACTGGTGGTGGTCAGAGGTGGTGGCGCCAGTGTCCGGCAGCCTCGCCTCTGTCAGTGCGCCCCAGGGTGGCTGTGGCTACAATGTAGCTTGCCATTACCTGTGTGTGTGAATGGGTGGATGACTGGATGTGTAAAGCGTTATACAAATACAGGCCATTTACCTGTGCAGAGTATGGAAATACAGATCTTGTGGCAGTTTTTCAGGTGTGGCATGAAGGGTGTAAAAATCTGACCAAGCTTTAGATAAATGTTAATCTACAAGATTGTAAAGACTCTAGTTGATGGGGTTCTCATAGCCTGCTTAAAAGTACAGATTTTTCTCCATAATGTCCATAAACTAATAGGTTTACGGTTGTCAGAGTCTCTCTATGCTCCTCTTTTCTGTCTTCTTGTTACCCTCATGGCAAATGGCAGACCTACAAGCCTGGTTCTTTTAGACCTCTCGTCCTGCTTTAAGGAAGTTTTTCTTCCCAACTGTCACCATGTCTTTGCTTGCAAAGGATCATCTGCTCATTAAGGTTGTTACGTCCCTCTGCAGCCTCTAATCTGCTCAGTGTGTTCAGCTGGTGCTGGCCACACCTAGTCAGGTGTGGATAAAAGCATACCTGAGGCAAGCGTCCAGAGAGCTCACTAGTCTTTGCCTTGGTGGTACCAGCCATTTGAGCCAACCTGCTATGCCATTTTAAGATAAAGCTTCTTCACACTAACACTCTGTTATTCATCTCCGTTTTTATGTTGCGGCTTTGAGCCGGGTCGTAACAAAGGTAATATTGTGGAGTCTTGTCCTTATAAGTGGCTTGAAACAACTGGTGTTGTGAACTATCCATCCATACATTCTGCTCCACTTATGCAACTTATCCAATTCAGGGTCACAGGGGGACTTGAGCCTATACCAGGTAACATAGGACAGGAGGTAGGGTACACCCTGGACAGGTTCCCAGTCTGTAGCAGGGCTAATACGGAGAGACAAACAACCATACACACTCACATTCACACCTATGGGCAATTTAAAATCACCAGTTAATTTAAACCCAATACCTGCATGACAGGGTACCCAGGGGGAACCCACGCAAACACAGGGAGAACATGCAAACTCCGCACAGATGGTGGATTCTAACCCAGGACCGTCTTGCTGTGAGGCAGCAGTACTAATCACCGCACTACTGTGCTGCCTCCTGTTGTGAACAAGTGCTTTATAAATATAACTGAGTGTAATTAGTGTGTCTGAGTATCAACAACAGACTCTCTTTCTCTGTTTTTAATCACAATCTTTTATTCAAAAGAAGCCCAAAAACACATAGCAATGACACATCTGAACAGCGATAAATATCAGTTGAAATATACATCACATTTGCTGTATTTGCATGTAAAAGCCTTTTTCATCAGCCTTGGGTTTTTTTGTTATTCCATTGCTTCTATTAGTTTACATTATTCACTGCCTCCACTCCATTACACTCACACTCTTTGTGCCACTAATATGAATTTTCTTTCGTTGTACATAATGAAAAAGTGACTGGAAAACACCCACAATCCATCAGCGAGATTGTCTACTGCAGTAAACTAATCCCATTACTGTGAGTTATTTTATTGTATTACAGTATTCAATTGCATTAATGAATATTCTCAACAATATACTGATTTTCAGTCACTGGTTGTTGGCTTTACAGACATGGCAGCCAGAAAATGTATAAACAATACATACATAATAATACATCAATACTTTAGACATACTACCACTAAAGGAGAAGCTGTGCTCAAACTTGTTCTTTAAAGTTTGCTTTAAGCGTTTAAATTGTACCTAAGATGATCTAGATGCAATTGCAAAGGCCAAAGCCACAGTGTCTCCTGTCTCATCTGATTTACTCTAGCATTTATTTTACACCCAACAGCGCTGATAACAACATATGCTGCTACATCGCAACTCTTGCAAAGACAAAAAATAAATACATACACTGGGTAGAGCAAAGTAAAACAGGCACAAATAACCAGACTGTTACCTGGAATGGCTCTGTTTACATGCTAGCCTATTATTCTGTGCCCAGATTGCTGACATCAGAGAATCAGTTCCTATTAAAAGGGCTTAAAACAAATGTGGAACAGACTTTTATACCTTCTCCTTCAGATCAGCTGTGTCAAATCCAGAAGCTTTTAAAAACCCACTTGTACAGACTCATATTTGCATAATGTGTTGAAAGGTCTTTTTTAATGTTTAAATGTGTCCCTTTCTTGTGAATAATATTGCTATTGTTCTCTTTTTCTCTTGTGTATTTTCTATTTTTCTTTTTGGTAATTTTTGCAAAACACCTTGTATCGCCAGTTCATCAAATAAAGTTTATCTTTACTGTGCACACACATCACATGAACACAAAAATAAAATGCAAGAAGCATATATCCAAAAAGGTCAGGCGTTTTAGCTTTAAGGGGGGCTACATATTTACAGAGAAGCATAGAGCTGCCAAAGCATCACATTTACTTTGAGAAAAGACAAGCGAGCCGTTTTTCATTTTGTTTCCTTTTTCTTTTAAACTTCTCAACGGTACGCAAATGAGATCACAAAAGACTTTTACGCAAAGCAAATACAGACGTCGGATTCAATCATCACAATTTATCCACTTAAGTAAGAAAGCAGAAATAAGCAGCAGTTGGAAACGAGAAAATATGATGAATTACTGCGCTGTTTGATTAAAGCTGTTGTAGAGAGGACCCTATAATGCCCAAATAAACCCCTCATATTTGCTACCTGCAGGAAATTACATCCACCGAATGAAATAAGTCCTAAGAGGCTTTTTGGTTCTGATAGGTAAATACATTCTTCAGTGTTACATGACCAACCTAAAATGAAAGGAGTAAGGAGTAAGCTGGAAAGGCACTTATGTCAGGCTGCCGAAAGGAACAAAATTGGTCTTGATAAACAAAAATGTTGTGATTTTTTTTTTCCACCAATGTGCTATAATGGATGTAGAATAAGTGTGTGTGGTAGTAATAAAATAGTTGACAAAAAGGCAGAAAAGCATCGATTTTGCCACTTTGATCACTTAATCCTTAAAATATGTTTTTCTTTCTCAGTTCATGTGTGAGTTTCTCTGCTACTGTTCATGTGGCCCTAATTAACCAGAGGAGGAGCTAGTGGTCAGGGCAGTGACTGTGGGAGGTTCAGCTGCAGTTACAACAGAGTTTAGCATCGAGGCTGCTGTGGTAGTGGCCGGTCCGGTTCCTGGGTAAGTGGACTGAAACTTACATGCAGGGGTGGAGCGGTGCAGGTCTGCTGCAGTGTGAGTCGTTGGTGAGCCCGGCGGGTGAGGTGAGATCTTCAGAGAGAAGAAGAACAAAAGAAAGAGCAAGATGGGAACATGAAAAAGGGGAAGACAATAGAGAAATTACAAAAAAAAAAGAGGCATGACATGAATGCACGCAGTGGATGTTTGATCTTTTGTTTTTGTAAGTGGGGTTTTATTTACTCAACCAAATGAAATATCTCCAAGACTGCAATAAAAAAAAAATCAGTGGGTTCTTACTTATTGAAACTAAATATATTTTTTATTCGTAAAATGGTCAAAATCTTAAAAATATATAGATATGTCAAGCAACACAGACCGATTGTGCTTATGTGTGCAGAGGCCCATTATGAGCCACGAGAAACGCTTAAAGACTAAAACTGTAAGCGATTTCTTTTTTCACAATTGTCATCATTGATTTATATGACACACTAGATCTGCTGTTTTCATCATCATCATCATCTGTATGAGGCATAAAAATCTATAAACACCGCCTTTCAGTCAGAGGCACTCTGTTATGTATTTGGTCCCTGGTGTGATTTAAATAACATTTTTTCTTTTGTTTTCCAGTTTTAACCGTTTACTTTTGTTTCTTATGTTTTCTTTTCCACGTCTCCCTTTATTTTGCCTGCGTGTATTTTCCTGTCATACCTATTAGTCTCATGTTTTCTCCTCTTTTGGATCAAAGGGACCTACACAAAGCGCATCCATAATTTCTGTGACTTTTGGAGAAAGTTGGCATTATATAACCTTGAAAAGCTGATTAAGCACTGGAAGAGCCTCATCAGAGCCACTCTGTCGTCTAATGCACCTCACTGCTCTTGTACTAGTTATCTAAATGGACACCATGAAGCGCCACACTGCACAGACTGAGTCAGAGCTTTTTCTTCCCTCTTTCCCTCCTCTAAACCTAATCACTTTCGCTGGCACTTTCAGAATTTTTTCTAATCATTGCCTCTGCAGCAGCATTAATTCACAAACCTTCAATTAGCTGCTCTCACACACAAATGCACACACCTGCCTGCTGATTAATACAGAAGTGACGCACTTATGATGCAGAGAGTCTCCACTGTTCTTCTAATATTAGTGAAACAAAAATAACACATGCCTTTCTTTTGATCTAGTGCTGCACTAAATTGATTTAAATCTCTGTTCTTTTTTATTTTTCCAAATCCCTTTAATTCCCATTATGCAATACATGCCATCACCTCAGCTCCACATGAGCACACACACTGGTTACCTGGCTGCTCTGGGGATCGTGATAGACCTGGTTACGCGGGGACAGCAGGATGCAGTCTTGTGCTGTGGTTTTCTCAGTGCGCGGGACACTGGGGTCACCATCATCTACATCATTGGCAACGCACCTCATGGTCCTCACACACAGCACCTGAAGGGTCATGACAATATTAGTGCTGTTATTATCTTTAGAGGGTTGCTACACATCAGCCTTCTCTGCAACATAACATACTGTTGAAGGTGTACAGACTAGAGAATAACAGTATTCTGGATCCAGGTTTGTTTTTTCAGAAAAAAAGGATTGTAATACACTTGAAATAAAAATGTTGCACTCTATAACCAGAATAATAATACTGCTAAAGATGAGTCTCAACCATAGGGGTAAAACAATCCTAGATAGCAGCACTGGAACCAAAGAGTGAAACCATATCACTGATTTTTTTTCTACTTACACATATTGCACTAAAACATATTTTTTCATGTTTTCTGTATTCGAAAAATATTAATACTGAGTTTAGCTTCATGGCTTCACTGTTTAATAACTGTGGGAGACAGAGTTTAACTAATCCTGCAACAAAACATTTTAACAACATGGTCACATAATTTGTAGTCTAGGCTTCCGAGGCAGTGAGAAAGAGAATTGCAATAAGCAAGGTAATAGTGAAAAACAACAACATTTCCTCAGTGGCAGCAACTGTTAGGAAACAGAGAGACAAAAAGCAGAACAGTAAACCTCTTCTTGTGCATACAGGTGTCCATACCAACTGCAGACACAGACACTCAGTAGGGAGTGTCAAACTAAGCCTTTATCCTTTTCCAAGCCCAAAGGAAGGAGAACAAAGTGAAAACACTGATATTAAACCAAATGATTTCTTATTTTTGTTTCTAAATTAAAGCAATTATTAATAACGTTGTTATTTTGTACTGATAGTCTGAACCATCAAACTCATTCTAGTTATGTGAAATTAGTCGTGTATATTCTTTAATTTCTTTAAGGTTTTAGAGGAGGGGTGTATAATAATCATAGCTGACAGGCATGTGTCTGTCAAGTTGCTCGTTTTCTGCTTTTTCTTTTGTGTTTCTGTGTTCACCCAGCTGTGTGAGTTTATTCTTCACTGCTTTGTTTTCTTGACATTTTCTGATTAACTTCCTTTTTAAATTTGAAGGTTAGCTCTTTTATTCCTTTTCACACACTCAGTATTGTTTTGATCTTAATACGGTTCACCTCTGTCTTATCGCCACTTTCTCCAGCATGTATAAATTCAGCCTATTTTGCTTCACACTTTTTCAAGTTGTTGTTTTTTCTCCCTTAGTTCCCAGGGATTTCTATGTGTTGCTTTTTAGCGTTTTTGGAGTTGGTCTTTTAATTTAGCTAGTGATTTTGTTTCTCTTGTTATCAGTCTGGCATGTTCTCTCTGCACTTGGATCAGCTTTGGGAAATTTATTGACAATATGACAGCATCCAAAAAATGACAAAAAATCATATTGTAGATTTATTCTTTATTATTGCTGAACTCTAATTTATTGGATATTTTGACTTTAACTTTGATATATATATTTTTCTGATGATAGACATTTATCAGGACATCTAAACTGGATACCACAATACATGCCAGCTTTGCTCCAGACTGATGGTTGCTGAAAAAACTATTTTAATAAAAAAATTAATAATTTTTAAATGATTGTTTTTCACAAAATGTGGGAGAAACATTCCTTGTGAATTTAATGACATTTAAATTAAAGGCAAACATCTCTTTTCTTTAAAAAAAAATGTGGACATGTTTTAGTAACCACAGTTTTGAGCAGTGTTGAATCACCTGCTGTGATTGGTAGATGAAAAATGATATGAAAACATAATTTAAAGTAAAATGAAGCTGCAATAGATAGAGCCCTAAACTATGATTATATTCCTATTCTTATACAGCACTGATGAAGCAGTGGGTCAAACTGATGCAGTTTGTAGAAACTGATGTTACCTTCAAAAAAATCACTGTTCACAACAGTTCAACAGTTAACAAACACAATGAGTTGAGATCAGATAAACAAGATGTAAGATGCTAATTAGCGGGCTTTAACAGCACTGCTATGGTGAGAAGAAATTCAACGTACTTTTCTGAAGCTCTGTTTAAAGTTGTCTGATAGGAAACCATAGAGAAACGGATTGGCACATGAGTTGGCATAAGACAAGATGACAGCAAAGAAGTAGATGCCAGCAGTGGCACTGGACTCCGGGATGATGACCACCAGATTGACCATATTGATGATGAAGAACGGCAGCCAGCAGAGCACAAACACCACCACAATCACCACCACCATTCGGGTCACTTTGCGCTCTGAGCGTCGGCGTTTAGAGAAACCAACCCGTGCCCCAGAGGACTTCACCTGCAAATTAACAATAAAAAGATTTGAATTATAATGACGAGGATGGAAATCGTGCCTTTCTGTTGACTGAGAAAAGAATATCAACTTAAAAATGTGCTTTTTAATGAGCTTCATGAAATATCTACCTTGATGACAATAAGAAGGTAACAGAGGCAAATGATGAGCAGTGGTCCAAAGAAACCCACTGTGGCAGTGTAGAGAATGAAGGCTGTTGACCACACATCCTTCGGCTCTGGCCAGATCATGTTGCAGGAGTTAAATGTATCCTAAAGAAAAATGAATATTGAACAAATAAAGTAAATTCAGAATTGAATCGGAATCTGACAGACAGTCAACAACAAAATCTGGAAGTTAATCCACTGCTTTCCATCACATCCATTAATTTTAAATGTCAATCATCATCTTCATCTTCTACTTCTTCTTGTTCATCCTCCTCCTCCTTTAGGGGTCACTACAGCAAATCACCTGCCCACATTTCACCCTATTCCTCTGCTACACCAACCCTCTGCACGTTCTCCTTCACTATATCCATGAATCTTATCTTTTAGTCTTCCTCTTTTCTTCCTGCATGACTGCTGCCTGTTTAACATCCTTTGTCCGATATATCCACTATCCCTCCTTTGCACATACCAAGCCGTTTCAGCTTTGTCTGTCTTTGAGCTTAACAACGTCTGCTCGTTTAAATTGTTGTTGCAGAAACACTTTTCTTTTTCATAAACTTTACACAAGTGCATCTTTGCAAATACACTTGTATTCATGTCTGTGGAATAAACAGCTTCCATGTCAGCTGGCATTTTGATAGTGTTTTATTTCACATTGTATCATCAAATAAAGGCACTTTTGACTGCCAATTTCCAGCACTTAGACCTAGCATCACACTTTCAGTGTGGTGGTACCACTTGACTAGCATTTGACTTAGCTGTCTTGACTCACTGGATACTTTACCAGACCATAAACAAATGTTCTTTGTGCCTTCAGTTAATATTGATTGAAGTAGGAAAAGACTTTCTCGGAAAGGAGGTTAAGTTGGCACGTAGCTCTTTATCTTGCATGGAACCAAATGTGCATTAGCCAGATTCTCATGACAGATAACACATGTAGACTGTTGACACCATTGTTTCAGCAGAAGCAGAAAGACATCTTACATTTGAGATATTATGTGGTGGTTTGGACCATACTGGAAAGGAATTAGTTTTCTTATTTGTTGACCTCCATGCTTTCAGGGCATATTTAGACTGCAATGCTTCTCATTATCTGGTAATTCATCCAAGGTGCACCGACAGACACGTTCGTTCAAAGAATTTTTAGGATATTATATTTACCTCTCAGTGAGTGTACAGAAAAGATTGACATGATAATATAACAACTCATTCAACTTGAAGTGCAGTTGTATATTGCATAATCATAACATATGGTTTTGAAAAAATATGATGGTGCCTCATGGTGCACTGGTTGCACTATTTGGGAACCACTTGATTTGAGTACCTCCATCAAATTCCTGCTTTTTTTGTTTGTTTTGTTATACTGCAATTAGAATCATTGCTAAAGCGAAATGCATTGCACTGCATTATGTGAATGAATATTTCAAAGAATGGGGAATTATGTTTAGCTTAGCTTAACACAAATACAGAAATACCAGGGAGTGAGCTAGAACTCCAAGTAGTCTCCAAAAGAACAGTCGAACATATTATTGTCAAATGTTTTTTTTTACTTTAGCAAACAGTCGTGAAGGTCAAACACACTTTATAAAAAAAAAATATAGTACCATTAACAGTGCTGAAAATTCAGTGTTTTTAACATGTTTCACAAAAACCCTCTTGTGACATTTAGCTTGGATTTTTGTAACTATTATTATTTCTTTTTCTTGTTATTATTATTTACAGTTTTTGTTTTACTGGTAACATTTGTCGTTTATAGTTGTTCCTTCTTTAAAAAAAATACCTTTGTTCAAAGATTGTAGAGGAACGTAGTTATTATATGGCCATTAAACCAGTGCTTAATTCTCGCTTTAGGAGCGGTCATATTACCATGCTTCGGTGTCCTATCTGAAGTTTTCACTGGCACACGACTGAATTGTATACCTGCACATCAGAGAAGATGACCACTGGCAGGACCACCACAAAGGAAACGGCCCACACAGCTGCGCTCACTACCTTCGCTATGCGGGGGTGTCTCCACTTGGTGCTGCGGATTGGATGAACCACAGCCAGGTAACGGTCAATCGACATTACTGTGAGACAGAAGATAGACGTAAACTGGTTCATGGAGTCTGCAGTCATGACCACGCGGCACAGGAAAGAGCCAAAGGGCCAATAGGAGAGTACATTCTGTGTGGTAAGAAAGGGGAGCCCGACGATGTACAGCTCATCAGCCACAGCCAGGTTCAGGATGTAGATATTGGTGACTGTTTTCATTTTGGCATAGCGCAGCACCACATAGATCGCCAAAGTGTTGCCGGTCAGACCCACCACGAAGACTGTGAGGGATATGACTGCGGTCATCAGAGTGCTGCTACCCTGAAAGGGGACACTCTGAGTGGAAATGTTGGAGGAGATGTTGAAAAGGCGAGGATAAGAGAAGAGGATAGGTGAGGATGTAGAGGAGTTGAGCTCGGATGAAAAGGGATGCCAGAGGTTTTGGTCTTGTTGCTCCATTGTTCACAGTCCATGTGGTGGCTTGATTCCAGTGATTTAGAAGAAACTCTTTCCTCCTTCTTCTTTTCCCATGCTTTCAAGACAGAAGCCGGAGCAGCCCCCACGCTTTAAAATGTGAAGTAAAACGATGAAAAGGTGATTTTGAACTATAAAAAAGGAACAATCCAGTTTGTCTCAATCAACAGTCCGTGCACAAGAAAGACCAATAATCACTACATTAAACTCCTCCGATAATTCTAAAGCTTTGTGTGCGCCCCGTGCGCCCTGAGCGAACTCCAGTGAGGCAGGTGTTCCACATCCTAGCGTATCATACACGTAGCTTCACAGTAGTGTAGTCGTATGAGGAATTAGACTGTAAGCAGTTGAGTCACAGATGATGATGTGCTGTATTTGTCAGCTCTATCTTTGCTTCTTCTTTTTTTTTTTAAATAGATCTGACTGTTTACGTCTCTTTTGATCTGACTTTGGAACCACTCACAAGTCATCCGGCGTGTTGTGCGTCAAGCTGTGAATGGTGCCACCGCTTTTACGCACGACACATCTTTTTGACTACACGCTCTATAATTATGAATGTGTCATTAATGAATGCGTGTGCTAAGGTTGAATATCTTGAGCCTTTGTTTAAAGGCTCGATGCGTTTAGAGGAGAACATTTTTAAATCGCGCAGAGTAAAGATTTATGCAGAGATCAAGACAAGAACGGGCTTACTATGTCTAGAAGAGGAAAAGTCAGAGTCTCTCTGTAATCAGATTCAAATAATCAGTCCCCGAACAAAGTCACGTCTGTTTTCCGATTCCTGAGTATTTGTCCAGTATTGATTGAAAGTTGTTTTCTAGCTCTCTTCGCTGTTCGCTGTCTGGGGTGCTGAGCAGAATGTACTGGCAAGCAGCTCTGCTGCTTTTTCTTCAACTTTCTGCCCACACAGCTCTGCTGCTTGCTTGATAGGATTTATAAAGAAAGAGAGAGAGAGAGAGAGAGTGAGTGAGTGAGTGAGTGAGTGAGTGAGTGAGTGAGTGAGTGAGTGAGTGAGTGAGTG